GGCTCCTAGGATGAGAATATTGTGTCACACTGAGGTTATGAGACGCACAGCCAATTTCTGCCGACTTCCACATCGTATGTCCTAATACTGGAAGCCACGGCCTGTTTATTCATTGGTGTACTGTGGAGCATTTGAACTTGGGATTTCTACTGCCTGAGTTTTGAATTATTTTATTCCCAGAACTCTGGTGTTCTTATACATACTGGTTACTGAGCAAGAAACTTGCCATACAAGTTGTATCTTTTTCGATGTGATTTGGAGAGTTCATATAAATAGACAGCAAGAGAGAACTCGAATGACATAACCACTGAGCGCTGCAACTTCCGAGACATCTGTTTGGATGTATTTAGAAAAACCTGGGAAGGGATCTCTTGCAAATTAATGAACAGAGGTTTTTGAAATTATGATTTCTTTTGTGACAGCTAAAAGTGATAGATTTTAAAGGTTTATGTAATGATTATGCTACCATTATGTTCACTGATTAAGGAAAGAAAAGGGGAGATGTGTTGGTGGCCTGCAGTAATGAGTTACTTCACTGACCCCTTATTGATCATCTGATTGTGCCCAACCCCGTGATGAGTCAGGACGGTACCAAGATAAGACCTAAGGTTTGGACTGTGGTCGGAAATAGTGATAGGGTGACACTGGGCATAGCGTGTTTGGCAAGTCGGGAGAGGCCCACAGCAGATACTTGAGCAGTATCTTGAAGGACGAACAGCTGCCTGCCTGAGATGGGAGAGGGCACGGGACTCCACTGCAGGTATGGCGTGTGTTTCCTTGAGGTCAGGTACCAGATCCATGCCAGCTTCAGAAATTACCACCAAATCAGAATATTGGCTCATGTAGAAATACTTGCCCTTGTTGTCTTCTAACTGGACTCGTTACTTGATAATATAATTAGTGCATTCTTCACCCTCCTCCTTAAGAAAATTTGACTCAACCATTTGGAACATTTTGTCTGATACCCTTCTATTATTTATAGTTGACTGATCTATGCAATCATATAATAAAAGGCCACTGAGGAGGAGTAGGCATAAGGGTTGTCATAGTAATTAACATATGCTCATGCTTGATAGCTATTTTCTAGGCTTTGTGTCCTAATTGTATCACTTCAATTTTATTTTGTCTCTTCAAGCCTTTATTTTCCTAGTGACTTAACCCATGGTTGGCACATAGTAGGAATTCAGTAAATACACATGGAATGGGAGGAGGGCATACCTGAGTGAATTTTTATATAACCCCTAAGATGAATGCTAATATTATTCCTGTTTTAATGTGGAAAATTGTGGTAGAACTGTCGCTAAGCGACCCCCAAGATCACATTTCTAGTGTTCTACACACCTTGCATTTGAGTATAGGTTTATTTCTATTCTGTTTCATCAGGTGCACTTCCAGTATGTTTTTAATAAAGCCTGTCACTGGGGTGGAAAATAACGTGGAGCCTCGGCCCTGTGTGAATTTATAGCTTCATACAATCTTAAAGCCACTGTCTCCTTTTAATTGATGTAAGACTCTGAAGGCTTAAAAAATGTAAGACAGAAAAAACAAATCCTAAGTCGTCTTTAAGACACAGAACTTGGTCTTGTATACATCCCTACCACATAGAAAAATGTCACTGATCTTGACTTTCTGTTACTTCCATCATCAGAGCAGTAGGTGTTTGAGTTTTTAAATTTAAGATTACAATATAGGGATGGTGAGATAACTCAGTGAACTAAGTGCCTGTTTGGCTAGGGAAGCACAGGGACCAGGGTTCCATCCCTGACAGGAGGTGCCACACCACCGCCCACCCAGCCCATTGAGCCAGCCACTGAGACCAGGCGGGTGTGGTAGCGCACACCTATAATCCCAGCACTAGGAAGCTGAAAACAGGAGGATCGCTACGAGTCCGAGCTGCGTAGTGAGACCTTGTACCAAATACATAAGAAAAGAATATGGTATGGATTATGATATTTCAGATGCCATGTATATGATATGATTTTCTCAGTCTCTCTTCTCCTGCTACTGAAAGTCAATGATCTACTTGTATGTAGTTCCTAAGCCTGCAATAGGGACTTTACCAGAAGAAAAGAAAATTCCATGAAGTGGCTGTTTGAACAGTTTGATTGTACATGTTCCTGCATAGTGCTGCAGTAAAAGAGGTGATCACAAATTGTCTAAATTATGGAATGATTCCCAGTGCTACAGTAGTGGTGATGCTACAGTTTTCTTTGGTGTGTGTTATATAACCTGTGGGTTAACCTTTCAATCATGGTTTCCTTAGGCTAATATTTATATTAATCAGAGTTTGCCAAGCACATACCACTTGACAGAGTAGACAGCATCCAGCAAAAACACTTAACAGATACAGCCTACCAATTTAGGGTTAAGCCAGGGCCAGGGGGAGCTTTGGCAGTGACTCACACAGGGATATTATTTTCTACATAGGAATAACAATGAACTGTATAGCACCATTACACCTGGGCTTTAGTTTTATAAAACTCTTTCAGAATTTTTTCCCATACACTACAGAGTCTTAATTTTTCCCTCCTATATATCTCTGGTTGGAACAGTGAATCACATCAAGATGATCTCTTTACATTATCTGTCTTCCTAATGACCATCTTCTTGTAGGCAACAGCTTTGTCTTACCCAGCTTTGTATCATCTGTACCAGCCATGCGTGTAATATGTCTGCATCAAAGAGCAGATTTCTTGATATAGAACTACCGGCACACTGAAGTAGACTAGGGGCCGGGGAGATGGCTCAGTGGAGTAAGTGCTTCCCTGGCAAGTGCAAGAGCCTGAGTTTAATCCTTGGTTCCTCAAAAAAAAAAAAAAAAAAAGAAGTAGACTAGATGTTTGTGAAAAACCTCAGCAAAATGTAGGTATTCTATACACTTCTAAAAAGTGAGACGCAGACTGAGTTGCACATGCCCATGTGCTGTTGTATTACTATGTAAGAACCTGTCAGGATGTGTAGGTAAAGAGTAATGTTTTTTTAAAAAAATTGGGCCAAAGTGGAAGAATACCACCCGTCATCCATTTTCAGAATCACTGTTATCCATCTCTCGGGGGTTTTATTGGTGCCTGACTAACGTTATTGATCCGTCGTTGCAGTAGAGTAAGTGAGATTGAAGCTGACTGATTGTTGACGGGATCGGGTGATCTGGCTCTGGTTTTGGCAACCTTGCTAAGAGTCTGCGCTGTGGACTGTGGGAGGCTCTTAGTGAAATTGCAAATTATTGGATTAATGGCAGAGCATCACCAGTGCATTAAGAATGTCTTTTTAGAGAAATAAAATGTGAAAATGACTATAAAGTAGGAAGTGTCAGAAAAAAAAAAAAAAAGCCATCGCAGTGCCTCTTAGGAGAGATAGCTGTATTTTACATAAATAATGCAGCCCAGGCTTATTCATCACTCCAGATTCCTCAGATACCTCCCAAATTTACACATTACTGGAGAGTGTGTGCGCCACAAAATTAACACTGATAATGGATGTCAGGAGAGTTAATAGTAACCAAAGAGCTTTCCATTAGAAGTAGCTCGGCCAAGATAATGATATAAGAATACCTTTGTCCCCAAACTAGCTTTTCTGGTTGTTCCCTGCCTCTTGAACAATGCTGCCTTCTATAAACTATTTCCTCTTAGAACAACTGAAATCTGAAATGTGTCTTCTCATATTCCTCCTCATGGAGGCAAGAGATAGATTCGGCATACAAAGTCTCACTCCTAAGACTCAGTAAGAAATTAAGTTAGCTGTTACTAGGGAATGTGGCTGTCATAGTTTAAAAGAACCAAGAATTAAGTTACTGAAGTTACCATAACCAAACTTTTCTGGGAATAGCACACTTTTCTTTATTGAAAGTGAGGTTTTTATTATTCCTCTTAGTAATATGTAAATCATTGTTTTAAATTTGTATATTAAAGAATTGACTATTTTCAGGGCTTTCATTTAAAGCCAGATAAAGTGAAAAGTAACTCACTTTGTGGTATCCTTGAGAAATTTGCTAAGTATGCAATGTAAATGTTAAAAAAAATTAATTACTGGGCTGGTAAGATAGCTTAGCAGACTAGGTGCCTGCGTGGGCAAGCTCAGGGACCAGGTTTCAATCCCTGGCGTGCACATGCTACACTGGCCCCGCCCTCAGGCCTACTGAGCTGGCCACTGAGACCAGGTGTGCAGGTACACGCCTGTAATCCCAGCGCTGGGGGGGCTGAAGACAGAAGGATCACTATGAGTCCAAGCTGCGTAGTGAGGCCCTGTACCAAATACATATAATAATAATAGTTGTTACTTGAAATTAAGAACTCAAGTTTGACCATAGAGAAATCCAATAATAAGATTGCAGAATACTTTTTTCTGCTGATAGAGGATCTCTGTGAATAGTTTTGCTTCTTACACATGATTAAACTCTGAATAGTGTTAGTGGTTCTCCAGTTGAAATCCAGATAATAGAAGGAAAGTGTAAGTGGCATCTCTCAAATTCTAATATGCACGTGAATTAGATCCCCAGTTGGGCTCTTAGTGAAATGCAGGTGCTGATGGGTAGGTCTCAGGTAAGGCCCCAAGTCCTGCATTTCTACCAAGTTGGTGTTTCCTATAATGTTGGTCCCTGGAACATGACCCTTAGAGTGGCAAGGCTGTACAGCACAGTCAGTAACTCTCAAAGGACTTTTGAGTTTCAATCATAATGTTGTCTTCAAGCATTCTGATTTCTTGGGATCCGTGAATGTTTGTCAGGCTAAGAATAGCTGACATGGGTGGAGATTGGATAAGTAATGCTAAAGGTGAAGTCTGTGGGTTTGATTGCTTCGGGCTGGTCTCGTGGGCTACGCCTGGTACTTAATAGAAGCATTTGGTGGTATACTCAATGAATCTTAAGAAGTCGAAGTGTTCAGCTAAAGGATGAAACAAAAATATTCTGGTCATCAGTCGATTAAAAATGTGCAGTTGAAATCATTTGTGTGTTTTATCTTGTGACGCTATGTGTTATGAATGTTCTCCCCCTCTTCATGCAGAGTATGATTTCTTCCATTGTGAACAGCACTTACTATGCAAATGTCTCAGCAGCAAAATGTCAAGAATTTGGAAGGTGGTACAAACATTTCAAGAAGACAAAAGATATGATGGGTAAGCAGAAAATCGTGGCAGTGGTAGCTGCGTACCATTCCTTGTCATTTGGGGGTTTATCAAAGTCACATCTTAAGCCAGGTCTTTTGATTGCCCAATTAGAGATCAATTTAGAATGTTTCTTTGAGAGTGGGGAGTGGGATATGAGTATAATGAGATAATTAAATTCAATAAATGTTTGTGTTTAAATCAGCCAAACTGACTTGGTTGTCAGACGTGCAGGAAATCGAGGCGTGAGCAGGGGAGCTGTCATTTTTTTAACATCTCAGTGAAGACCTAACCAGGCCTTGAATAACTAATATTAGCTGTGATTTCTCTCAGAGGTAGAACGTGCTTTTAGGGTTTTGGTTTTTGTCTCAAAGAAATGTGATGGGTTTTTATACTTCATTTTTAAAGAAACCAAACTATCAATCTTATTAAACTCTGTTCATATTTCTACAGTTGCGAGCCCATGGTTCCAGTCCCCATACTCCCATAGGCTAGGCAGTTTGGTGAGCATGCTGGTGTACCACTGCATCATTTCTAAACTTCTCCACGTTGTATCATTTCTTACTATGAAATGTTAAGCCAATATTTGTTGTGTAAGGAATATGGTAAAAGTATCTGAAATGTAAAAATAACAGATAAAGGCTAAGCATTTGGGTAATGGCATTTTCTCCATGTTGAGTTTGTTAGTACTCACAGAAGCAAACACTGGTTAAGGTTAATGTTCTAATTTCTATTAATGATTTCTTCCACATGGTTGTATATTTTAGAATAATATAGAAGTGGGATGTTTAATACGCATAACATTAGGCTTTGTTTTAAATTTCTTATTTCTCTTATATTTATTTAATACTAACAACTATAACTTTTCCTAAAGATTTTAAGAGACAAGGGAACTTGCATTTTGAGCATGTTTTAGCTTTTAATATTTGAAGAAAAGCCATCCATCTACCAAAACAGATTCTTTGCCTTTTATAGCTTAGAGCTGTAATGAAGACTATGCATCATTTTTGGAATAATTGCTTGAATTACTATTCTCTGTGAATGGCCCACTTGGGCTGATATCACTGGTAGAAATTAAAGGTTTTTTCCCCTAATTCTTAGTTATATTTTGCATCTCTCAGTGACTATAGCAATATGGTAAGTTCGTCTAAATATAAAACCTGCATATTTAATGACAAGAGGAATGATGATTAAAATCAAAATAATCTATACATGAGAAGTATGGTATAAATGTGGAAAGATTTACCTATTCACAGAGCTCTGTGCTCAGCCATTGCAGTCAAGAACATCAACCCAGTGTCTCTCTGAAACAGCAGGTATTTGACACACTTTAGACCTGACGCTTGGCCAGCGTATATGAGAGGCCCAGCCAGGGAAGAAGCATTCATCCCAAGTTGGTGGGAATCGATTGCAAAACAGCAGTATCAATGTTACACCGAATTGACTCCCAGCCTCTTCCTTGCAAGATGGCCTTTCACATCTGAGCTCAACCATGTAGCCCAGGCTGGTCTGGAACTCTCAGTGATCCTCCTACCTCGGTCTCCCATATGCTCACATTGTAGGTGTGCACCACCATGCCCAGCTACCAGCAATGGCTTCTTAAAAAAATAGTGTTTAGCAGTACAGGGTGTACTGTCTTATATAGTAAGTCACTTGTTTTCCTTCCAAGAAGTGCTGCTTGCAGATGTGTCTATTGTCTTTGATGGTTAAGCTTAAAAAAGCTGTGAAAGCTGCTCAGCCTGAAGGTCTGTTCTAATACTTTATTATTAGGCCCATTTTTACTATATCTTCATTACATATGCTTTGCATTTCCTGCTATATAAAAATTTAATGTAAATAACATTTTAGGTCAACTTGTTCCTCCCATACTCTTTTCCTAAATTAAATTAATATATATGAGGAAAAAACATTTGTAAATTTCTTTTCCTTAGTTGCTTATTAATCATATACATCTTAATTCATAATTAAGCCTTTAAGTAAGTAGAAGTTTGCTACAAGCTTTATTTATTTATTTATTTGGCAGAACCAGGGATTGAATTCAGGCCCTTGTGCTTGCCAGACAAGCGATTCTACTGAGCTATCTCCCCGGCCCCTGTTTATTTATTTTTAATGTATTTGATGCAGGGTCTCATTGTGCAGCTCAGACTTGTAGTGATCCTCCTATTTTCAGCCTCCCAAGCACTGGAATCTTGGTGGCCGGCTCAGCCCACCTGGGGGCAGGGCCAGCACAGCATGTGGTGCTGGGGATTGAATCCTGGTCCTTTTGCTTGCCTAAGTAGGCACTTAGTCCGCTTAGCTATCTTGCTGGCCCTACAAATTTTTTAAAAGTAGATCATTGCTTCTAGAAATTTAACTTGAATCCATGAGTGAAAATGAGTAACAGTTTGATCCTATAGCTACTCACAGAAAGAATTTGGATGTAGTAGGTTTTATCTCTTAAATCTGAGCTACATTTTAAAAACAAATCAGGAGTATTGCCATACTTTGAAAGTTTGTGGAATTGTTCAGAAGAGGAAAACAATAGTGCAGTCTGATAAGTTCCATCTTGAAATTTTCTTGATTTCTTTGGCGCTTCCGTGTGCCCTGTGCTTACTGCCTTTTTTTATTTAGGAAAGGTTCTGAAGTCTCTGTCGGTGCCTACCCATGTTGACTGAACATGATTTCACTTTCTGTCTCCTTCAGTTGAAATGGATAGTCTCTCTGAACTATCCCAGCAAGGGGCCAACCACGTCAACTTTGGCCAGCAGCCAGTCCCGGGAAACACAGCCGAGCAGCCTCCGTCTCCTGCGCAGCTCTCCCATGGCAGCCAGCCCTCTGTGCGGACCCCTCTTCCAAACCTGCATCCTGGGCTTGTATCAACACCGATCAGTCCTCAGTTGGTCAACCAGCAGCTGGTGATGGCGCAGCTGCTGAACCAGCAGTATGCAGTGAATAGACTCTTAGCCCAGCAGTCCTTAAACCAACAATACTTGAACCATCCTCCCCCTGTCAGTAGATCTATGAATAAGCCTTTGGAGCAGCAGGTTTCAACCAACACAGAGGTGTCTTCTGAAATCTACCAGTGGGTTCGCGATGAACTGAAACGAGCAGGAATCTCCCAGGCAGTATTTGCACGTGTGGCTTTTAACAGAACTCAGGTCAGTCTTGTTCTTTGTGTGAACGAAATGTTTTGCTCTCTCTTCCCTTCCCCCTCCCTTCTTTCTTCAGTTCTGTGTATGCTCGTGTTTATTCTTTGACTCTGTATAACATTTCACCTTTCTCTTCACATGATCATATTGCTTATTCTGGTGGCACTTAAATGTTTAAACTCCTCTTCCTGCAGTAGCACTCCTCTTTCAAAGGATACTTGTGTACAGATTTATCCCAAATCAGACGGCTTGCAAGAATGAATTCGAAAGCATTTCACATTGGTATTACCCATGTTCTTATATGATAGAATCATAAACTGTTAGCAATAGAAAGTTGAGCAAAGCATCATGACTTATTCAAGACCTGGGGTAGGAGTCTAGGCTTTAAGCTGAGTGTATTTTCCATTTCCAACGATAACAAACTTAAGTATAGAAATGTTCTTTGTTAAAGTTTTTTCATATCAATATTTTTGACCCGTTGGAACTTAATACCAACTTACTGGTTTTTAGTTGTAAGCGGTCATTCAAAAAATCTATAGGACTTATTAACATAAAATGTTGCCTAGCTTTGTCTTTTCTCCCATGTTAATATTAATGTTCTTCCAAACCCATTCTTTAGACCAGAGATCAGCACAGTTTTTTTTTCTGTAAGTGGTCAAATAGTTTATATTTCAGGCTTTGAGAGCCATAAAAGCTTTATTGTATTGTAGGATGAGTAGCCATAAACAATGAATGAGAGGGCAGTTGATATACAAAATAGACTGTGAGGTAGATTTGGTCTGCAGGCCTTAGTTTGCAGACTTGTTTTTAGACTTCCATTGAGATTTGTGTGAATCCCTAATGCTTATACCTTGGTCCTCCTGGGAGAATTCTTATGGAGACATTACCTGTCACCATGGGTGGTAGTTAAGAGGGACATGGAGAAAAAGTGATACGTGATTTGAGAAGTCATGAGATGAAAGCTTTTTGAGAAGCCCTAAACAAATTGATCCTATTAAACTAAATGAAAAGATTTGTTTTCTTTGGAAACCAGCATGGGTATGTATGTTTAGTCTTGGCCAAGATATGTTAAAAAATGAGAACATGCAACGTTGATGAGATTGAAAACATCTGGTTTTTACTCTTCACCTTGTTTTACCGCTATTCTTTCTTGGGTCAATTTTTTTTTATTCCCTGACTGTATTTTTCTTGCATTTTAAATTAATCTTAATACATGATTATAAGAATAAAATTCTGGTATAAAGATCATCTAGTATTCCTTATTGGTGGAGTGTCCATATTTACGAGAACCGCAGCTGTGACTTATTTGGGTTTGCCTTAACTAGATTGGGAGTTAGGAGACTGGACAAAAATGTTCATTTTCAGTTTTTCATGTGTGTGTGTGTGTGTGCATGCAAATATATTTGTGTCTCAGCTCAGTCAAAGCAATAGAGCTTTTATGGATCAGGCTTTTTACTTAGTTCCATACTTTTGCAGCTTAAAAATGGTGTTTATTATTAGCTAGTCATTTTCATGTGACATTTAACTTTAGTTAGGGATGATCACTGAAAACAATCCAAAACCAGCCTTCAAGATACCCATGTTTCTTGTGGCATTATTTTTGTAAACACAGTGCTAGTAATTCTCAAAAATAGGACTCTACCTAAAAGTACAATAATGCTTATTGAATTTGATTAAAAGCCCACAGACAAAGGCAACATTGCAGTAGACACAAATTTTGGACAGAGATGTATTGATAAGTGCCTTAAAATTTAGCAGCTGATCTAAAGCACCGTGGAAAGTGCATTTCCTGTTGAGCGTTTGAGCAGAGCTGAGGCGAGGAGGGGATCAGCACCCGTTGCTGACATTGCCTTGGGTTCTGATGCATAGCTCTGATCATTGTCCGTTATTTCTGCTTTTGGTTCTTACCTTGAAAACTGCCACAGATACACTTAAAATTTATTACTAGAAGAAAGGTAGGCTTTTCTTTTTATACCAGCTTAATCTCCTTGAAAAGATAGGCATCTTTGTAATTGACATTAAAAATAACTATATTCTTGAGGATAAAAAAGAATGAAAACCTGGTCTAGCTTCATGTAGGTACCTCTTTTTAAATAACCCATCTAGAAAAAAAAATTCCAAAAAAATTTTGGGGGACCTGGACTGTGAAGAGGTTTGATTGTAAATTTCTATATTGATTATTTACACTGTTTAGTAGAAGTAGATTCTGGGGCATATTTGAAGCTGTTTGGTTTAAATGGGAGTGATTTTATATGTATATTTAAATGTTCATTGGCTGATGACTAGCTTTTGCACACGCAAGCATGTATGTATTTTCAGCGGTCATACTTAAAAATCACGCACACACACAGCTGCATTTAATGATTATACATTCATATGAATGCATGTAGTGTGTTTATTTCAAAGTGTATGCATTTCAATAAAAGCAGGTGCAGAGTGAAAGTATGGTGTGAGTGTGGAGTACGAAAATACACATGCTAATGCATATGTATAGACAGGGAGCGCTGCGGAGTGAGGTTGCATATCACATTTGTTACATTATATTACAATGTAATTCCAACTCCAAGTTTTAAAAAGATTCATGTAAGATATGTACATAAGAACAGTTAGATGATACAGTTGGATGAAGATTGTAAACAGTGTGCTGAATGTTAATAGAACAGTCTAGTTTTGAACTAAGAATTGTTCTAGTCATTGACAGCTTAGAATGACTGTAAAATCCGAATTTCGTGTTTCAAGTCTTGAGGATTTCGTGCTCATCTTAATAGGGTTTCCTAAATTAAAACATAAAAGTCTCTTTAGATTCTCACACATGACTATTTTTTTAAAGTCCACCTTTCCCAAAAACTCATGGTGAAACTTAAATAATTACTTATTTTAAAGGATTTTTCCCCTTCTGACCTGATGGGCATTTGTTTAGTAGCTATTGACAATTCTGGCTTCTAGCATATGCCATTTATTCAGTTACACCTACTTGGTGTCTTTTCAGTGGAAGCCTATCGCTAGAGGTAATTGTCAAAGACAGACTCCTACTGTACAGTTCACCTTTCTGTGATGCTGCTATTTAAAGTTTGTGATAGGAGAAAATGCATTCTCTAATGCCCCCTCCCCACAGATAAAACGCCAGGTGTTTAACTCTGACGCCCCTGTGTGGCTTTTTCTCTCATTCTCCCTCCTCTTGTCTTTGGCACACTTTTATTTTCCAGTAAAATAAAAAATGAAGATGGATTATTCAAAACTGATAACAGTAATGGACCATCATGTAATGTTTTATTGAATTTGAGTTCTGTAAATTATGTGGTAGAGAGAAATTTGCCTGCTTAAGTATAACAGAAATTGCTACTGTGTTCCTATAATTCTTCACAGTGTAATTTAAGAAAAGTCCACTATCCATATCACTATTGAATAAAGGTAAAAAGGTGCTATTACCCAAACATGACAGCTCTCTATTAGCCTACCAGAGGACAGATAAATGTGTCTACTTACAACTTACTTGGCCTGAGTCCAAGGAGTAGGCAGAGTTTGAAAATAGTCTTTCACCTGGACATGGGATTCATGCTTCAGCAAACAACAGAGGCAGGTAGGGTTGAAGAAGAGTCTATGTGTTTTCTTTTTTATGAGGAAGGTTTCATCAGACCCAGGTTCTTTCTGAGGGCTTTCCATGTGCCATGAGGCTGATACAATCTATTTGAATGAGTGATGATGTTTAAAGAGGAGACAAAGAGATCAGCCAGGCTTACGGTTCAGATTGTCAGTTTCTGTTGCTTATCTGCCGTTTTAAAGAATTCGTAGTTAGCTTTCGGAAGTGCTGATCATACTTATGGAAGGATTTCTTTCATGAATTTTACTTATAATAACTTCTAAACTGTTTGGGGACCATAAAAGATTTAGGAATTTATCAGTAAGTTCATTCTTCAATTGAAAAGAATTAGGATTTTCATGCAACCATGATGTAACAATGCAGAACAAGTTTATGCTTTTGTATATGGAACACACATCTAATTATTTGTAAGATGTCATGTCCCAATGAATAACTGCTGATTTTCAATAAAATTATTTGCTGGTAACTTCCGATATAATATTACACGTTTTCAAAAACAGACATGTTTAATTTAGTTCCACAAATCTATGGAGCACCTATGGTACATGATGTTTTAATCCCAGTATCATAGCATATTGAATAGCACACGAGGCATATGAGGGCCTTGCCAGACTTCTTTCTTAGTGTGAAGAAGCATCTCTGGTAAGAGCCCTCTATCAGTCGGCCATGGGGAATTCCCACACGGGATCTTGTCCTAACTTGGCAAGTCTACACTGTGTATTTTGAACTATAGAAAGTGGAGGAGAAGGGAAGCAACTTGAGTCCACAGACACATCTATTTAAAATAACAAGGATCTGGATGATCCTTGTTATGACAACAAAGCACACATTCCTGTATCTTGATTCTTATAATCATTTTGTATCCACAATTACTCGAAAGTGATGTGGCCTCTACTACTACTTCTTTTCTTTTTTTTTTTTTTAAGTAATTAACACTCATCTAAACGTTTTCTAACAATATTTTTAAGCATTTCCACCAGGGGGCACTCCCCTCATTGAAAGCTCTGGGCAAAAAAAAAAAAAAAAAAAAAAAAAAAGAATTCTAAACAGAGATAAGTCTACACTGGCAGTTTT